TATTAACAAACAGTAAAAAAAGAGAAAATAAAACAAATATTTAAAAAAAAAATATTAAAAAAAAATATTTACTTACCGCAGCTGAAGTTGGTAAACTTGCTTTCTTTAGTTCTAAAGAAAGAAGTTTACAACAGTATATTGGCAAAAAAAGATTATCAATTTATTAATTGATAATCAATTCAAGATTTAAATTCAGATCTGAATCTAAATCTGACAGATCAGATCAGAATCTGAATCTGAATCTGATAGATCAGATCTAATCTGAATCTGAATCCAAATTAGATCTGAATCTGACAGATCTAATCTGAATCTGATATGTCAGATTCAGATTGAATTTAGATTGATCCGAATCTGTGCAGAACATTAGTTACTATTAAGATTAAATTATAAATCACATGATTTGTAATATGATTTTATATCCATATGACTTTGGGATCATATATTTCCTCTCACATATGCTTTTAGCATATGCTAACTTAGGTTTTATTAGGATCAATAGATTTTTGTATTTGAAAAAATTAATTAATTATATATTTATTTTATTTATTATTAATTTTAATAGAATCCTATATTTGCTTTTAATCGATATATAACTAAAAATCAAAATAAAGATTTTTATAAAAATTTATTTTTAAGTTAGCAAAATTGAATTAAAGTACTTCTTAAAGATTTTAATAGAGTTATTAAAACAATATATGATTTGAACATAAATCATAGATTAGATTTAACTAAAAAATATCTTCATAAATTTGTTACTTGCAAAGATATTAAAAAAGAAAAGGACTTTGTTATTATAAATAAAAATTAATTTGTTCTGTTAAAATGTGATGATAAAACTGTTAAAAGAGTAATTCATAATATTGCAAAAAAAAATATTACAAATCATTTTAGGCTTAAAATGAAACTTACCTGTGATGCATATTCTAAAATTAATTATGGACAAAAAATACATGCTGATTCAGGAAAATTTATTGGTCATGATCTTTGTGCAAATTTTTTAGATCTATTAACCACTGATTCTTATATATATAAAAATAAAAATCTTGATTCAGAGATATAAAAAATATATAATGAAGATGGAGATAGTTTTAGAGAATGGTTATATAAAAATGCTGAAGATCATATGAGGCCTTTGCAATAGAAAGGGAGGAAACTCCAAAAAAATTAAAATTTTAGTTTATAAGCCAAAAATGTTTCAAATACTATAATTTGTTCAGATTTATTATTAATTCATTTTTTATTTTTTTTTGAGTTTCCTCCCTTTCTATTGCAAAGGCCCCATATATCATAGTTAGTATTATTATATAAAACATTTAAGCAAAAAGTAAATTTAAATAATGAAAAGAAAATAGGTGCTATATTTTGTGTAGAAAACTATGAAGTTGCAGGATATCGGGATAAGAATAGATCAAAATTTGTAATAGGATTTGTTTATAAAATTAGTGTAGTTAAAGAAGGGTATTTTATTTATCCTAAATATGGTGTTGCTATTAAAATTACATCAAATTTAATATAGTATTAGTTAATGTAAGCTGTATATAGTACAGCTAAACTTAATTTAAATAAAGGTAATGTTCAATACACTAGTACAATTACCTTAACTGAAAAACTGTTAAAGCAATGGAAAAAAAGCAGGTATTATGAAGAATTAGATTTTTAATTAATTTTATAAAAATTTTTATTTTTTTATATATTTTATCAATAAAAAATTATTAAAATAAAGGTCTAACTATATTGATTTAATGTTTAATTATCTTATCGATAAAAAAATAATTAACTTTATGCATTTCTAATAAAATTTAAAATTTATAATTTAAATTAATAAAATAAATTTCAATTATTAACTATTAATACATTTCAACTATTATAAAGTATTTCAATTATTATAATATATAATTTTATAGTTTTAAAATATTAATTTATTAATAATACTATTTTAAGTCAACTCAAATCAAGTTGAGTTTGAGTCGAGTTTAAATCAAGTTGAGTTAAATATTTAACTCAACATAAATTTGGCATGACTTGCAAATCATCAAGTTAAAAAAATATAAATTTAACTTGATTTAAACTCAACTTGACTCATCTGACTTATAAATTAACTCGACTTATTCAGAACTCTAATAATACTTAGTAATAATTTTACCTATGAATATATTATTCAGATATTTACATAGATACATAGATATCTAAATAAGAAATTTAAATAATAGATATAAAATTATAGATAAGTAGATATCTGCAGATATCTATAGTTTATAACTATAAAATAATTAGTATTAATTAAAAATATTAACAGTTTAATAGTATTTACTATTGTTAACGTGCAATTCTATCAAATTGTGACTGTTAAACAAAATGTTCAAGTGGTGATTCTTTTTAAGTTTACATAGTAATCTAATAGTTATCTTAATAAATTAATGATTTTTTTATATACTATAGAGTATATGAATGCAGCTAAGCAATTCTCAACTTTCATGGATTTCAACTGAAATTCTACATTAGCTCAACATATCTGTTCTTCTGACATTCATTAGCCTACTTCTTTTTCTGTCTTCACTTCAAATATGGGAGATAACTCTGCTACCACCTCTTTTGTTCAAAGATAAAAAAAGAGTTTTAAATTAAAATCATTGATCGAAGAATTATTCATAGTGAACAGACTCTCAGTTAGGCGTCCTGACCTTTACAAAAACTGGTTATGCATTTTCTGCAGACAACACAATGAAGACTATAATCATTTGTGAAATTGCCTAAATAGAATATAAAATGTCGCTGATATTTGAAGATCAACTTGTGAATTTCTTCATAAGATTATCATTGACAAAATTAGTCAAAATGATAATAGACTCGACCTTTATTTTTCTATGAAAGAGAAACTTATAGAATATTTGAACCTTTCGCTCCATCCTACCACCTGCATTTTTTTGGCTAAAGGAATAATCCCTAACAATTTGTTAGCATTATTAAAGGAACTATTCTCCTCTTCTAATGCCAAAAACATTCTTGTAGATATCTCAAATTATTTTACCACCACTTTCTATGCTAATATCTGGGTTCCCAGATGTAACAAAATGATTGAAATAGAAAGAAATTCAGGAATTTCTAAAAGGTTAAAAAAGAAAAAAATCAAGATAAAATGTTCAATTCTTACAAAAATCTCCAAATAAATATCGTCAAGATGGTCAGATTAGATGTTATCAGCAATCAAATTTGGTTTCTTTTGGACAGTTTTTTAGATAGTACTGACAGTTTCATTTAAATGTTTTATTGAGGATTTAATCATTAGATATAGATCTTTTGGTTCTTTCTGAGAAATGTTCTAGTGATTGATCAATCTAAATGGGTTTATAACAGAATTACAGGAGATAGTCTTAGTTTAGTTTTATTGTTTTTATTCTTAATTTAGTTTTTTATTTTCTATCTTTATTTGTAATAATATAATATAAATATAATAAACTTAAAACAGTATCACATCGTTAAAAAAAAAAAAAAAAAAAAAATGATGATATTAATGATGATTCTAAAGAAGAATCAATGTTAATATTTCCAAATGAAGCTCTCAAATTTTTATAAACTTGGATTACCTTTTTTGATCAATAGCCTATTGATGAATTTAACATTGAAGATGGTTATGTCTTTAAAAAATACTTAAATGTACAATCAACTCTTGTTATAATGAACTTTATATTTTAGATTTTAACTTCGCTATAAGGCTATAGTGAAGATTTTAAGAGATTTGATTAGCCAATTCGCTATAACAAGAGTATTTTTATTATATTTATTCAAAAAATTCATTATATCAAGAGTTTGTTATATTAAAAGTTGACTGTAATAAGGTGGCTTAAAGTTCAATCTCAAAATCAAGCTCTGATCACTGATTTTTTTAGTAGTTATGAAAATTAAATAGGAAATTATATAATCTGATAATATCTTTTTTACATGATTTAATAAAAATTATATTACAGTTCCTAAGGAGCTGTGTCACAACGATCATGGCAAATGAATAAAGTACGCAATAACATTTCTTATAATATCAAATGCTAATTTCATAGAATCAATGATTTTCACAGCTGTACTGTAAAAATCATGATATCTATGAATTCTGTTACGTATTAGAGAAATTGTAAAAATTGTTAGTCATGTGATAATTTTCATTTATCACGTCACGTAAATTAACGAATGAGAATCAGTATTTTATTTTTTAACATTTCTTGCTTCACAAATGTATTGTGTAATGTATAAATAGATGATATAAAGCTTAATAATATTAATTTAACCTCTAAATAGTCACTATCTATTTGATTATAATATAGTTATGATTATATAAAGGTAATCTTTTTACAGTCACACCTTTATATAATCATTGATTTTGGTAGAACCAATTGTGTAACTATATAAAGGTCTGACTGTAATCATATTTAACTTATAAAGTAAAAAAATTTTTTAGTAGATTTTTTTTTTAAAAAATATTTTAAATCAACTAATAATAATAATTCAAAGTAATATATTAATAAATTCTGATTTTAATATTAAATAGTATAATTAATTTATATTATATAATTTGTATAATTAATATAAAATAATTCTATAAGATTATATAATAATTAATTAAACTAAAATATATATAAAGAAGATATATATTTATAGAAGTATACTTAAAAAAAGTTAACTATAATAAGAAAATTTTATAGTAAAATTTTATATATTATATACATTTACTTTACCAATAATCTTAACAAAGGGCTTAAATTACCTACATTTAATTCTAACAAATCGTAATTAATTACCTTATATAGTAATATATTAAATTTTGCATTTTTAGAAATTATATAAATTGCATTTTTTTTATTTTTACATTGCACAACGAAACCAGTATATTGATATCATACTGCCCTCAAAAATGGGGTACAATGAAATTTTGGCTATGCAGTTAACATTATATAACAAGAATACTCTACTTTTCGATGTAGTGGTCAGTTTAAATATAGATCTACAAGAGAATGACCTCTTCACCATCACATCTTCAAATTCCAGTTAATGATATTAATGATGAGGAGGAGAATAGTGATCGAGAAGCATCTGAGGAACAAGAACAAGCTGTAGATGTAATTGAAGAAGGTGAAGAAAGAACAGGGTTATTGAATGGCGTTTTAACTGAAGAAGAAAAAGGAAGGACAGCAACTGAAGTAAGTTTATATGTTCATTTGAGTTTATAATTTTACAAAAACCTTTTTCTTAAAATAATATTTACTTAGGCATATCGAATATTAGTTTTAAGAATACTTCTGATTATGTTATTAATATTAATGTTAGTTGGAACAATTATATTAACAATATTTCCACCAAGAACACATGATGATAAAATAGGATCGTTATATTCAAATGGAACCCATGAATTTCATAACACTGTTATATTAGTATCATTTGACGGATTTAGATCAGATTATTTAGATAGAAATTTTACTCCAACCATTCAGAAATTTAGTAAGATTTTTTTTTTTTTTTAATTGATTTTTAATTTTTTTAATTTTTTTAATTTAATTTAATAATATCTTTAGTTCAGAAAGGATTAAAAGCCGAATATCTTGTGCCATCTTTTCCGGTGCGTACACTTATTCAAAAAAAAATTTTTTTTTTTAATTATAAATTCTTTAATAATAACGGGGGGGTTTTTTTTTCTCAATGGAGATAGTCGGTAACTTTTCCTAACCATTATTCAATCGTAACAGGATTATATCCAGAATCACATGGAATAGTAGCAAATGAATTTTATGATCCAATATTAAAAGATGATTTTTTTTATATAAATCCAAATAAGAGTTTAGATTCAAAATGGTGGAAAGGAGAACCAATATGGGTGACAACCGTTAAACAAAATCAAAAATCGGGAGTATCAATGTGGGTTGGATCATCATCAGTTATCGATGGACATGTTCCAACATATTCCCATGTATATAATAGTAGTCGTAGTATGCATGAAAGAATAGAGCATATCATCAATTGGTTAGATATGGAATTAGAGGATAGGCCAACATTCCTGGCTGGATATGTTAGTGTAGTTGATTCTATGGGACATAAATTTGGACCCGATTCTCAGGAAGTTAATAAAGCTCTTGAAGCTGTCGATGATTATGTTAAAATATTATTAAATAAAATTGAGGAAAGAAATTTAACTGACATTGTCAACATAATCTTTGTAAGTATATATTAAAAAATTATTATTTTTTTTTTTATTTCTGAAGAAAAAACAAATATATATATTTTTTTCCTTTTAATTTAATAGGTTAGTGACCATGGAATGGCACAAACAATACCATCAAATATAATTTTTTTAGATAATGTGTTTAATATATCAAAAATACACCCATTAGAAGGCTTTCCGATAGGTGGGATACGTCCATATAATGATTCTGATATAAATGAAATCTTTGATTTACTTCAAAATGCGAGTGAAAGTCAACCATGGACATGTTATTTAAGAGAAAACATTCCAGAAAGGTTTCATTATAGAAATTCGGTTAGAATCGCTCCCATTATTTGTATACCACCTGTTGGTTGGGTATTAACTAATCATAGAGATTTTAATGAGAAATTGCCACGAGGTGCGCATGGTTATGATAATCAAGATCCTACCATGAGGGGCATATTTTTAGCTAATGGTCCATATTTCAAAGATAAGAAAGGGGGAGACGATGGAAGAGTTGTCAATCCGTTTATTAACGTTGAAATTTATAACACTTTATGTAAAATTTTGGGATTAAAACCTGCTCCTAATAATGGTACAGTTGATGGAATTATATAAAATAAATAATTTAATTTAGAAATATAGTGGCAGGTATATTTTAAGGTGCTGATCGGTGCGGCACAAGTCACGTGTGTAGGTTTCGGTGGTTCCTCAAAAAATCGGATACTTGGATGTACAAATAGCCACAAAAACATAACAATCAAAATTCACAATTACCCCTTTTTTTTTATTGTTTAATCCGATCATGACCAATTATAGTAACAATTTTTTAATAAAGTATGAGAAAAAAAAACATTCGTGTGAAAAATTTATGTACAAAAATACAAAAATGAATAAATAAATAAATCGGCCGATCCAAAAAGCGTTAAACACCACCACAAGAACGAGTAACATCTCTTAAACCAATTCCATTATTTTGTTTTTTCCATTCACCTCTCAACCTTTCAATATTATCATTTGAATACAAAGAAAAATCGGATTGATTTATTGATCCTTGTTGAACTTTATTAAAATTATAAAGTAGTGCTCCTCCTGTTGGTATAGCTAACCTAAAATGAAAAGTGTGAATTTTTTTTCTTAGAAAAAAAAAAGGATAAAGTCATCACCATATTACATACCACATTACAGTAGCACTTTTTGGACCAAAACGCGAAATTATACTTGATACATTCATTTTTTGTTTTTTTTTTTTTTTTTTTTTTTTTAGAAAAAAAGATTTTTTTTTTGGGAAAAAAAAGGAAAAAGGAAAAAAAAGGAGGGTTAAATATAATTTTCTGCTCTAAAAGAGTTATGTTACACGTTACATATTGGGATAAGTAATTATAACAATCAAAATAAGAACAACCAAAGAAATTTTCTCACGTCTGCTTTCTATGACGAAAAAGCAGTGACAAATACAAATTCACCCAAACTAAAAAAAAAAAAGTTGCCGAGATACATTATAAAATATCACGTGTCAGGTGACAATACATGTAAACGTTACACCGAACATGCAATGTTGGGAAGTACAAAGGTTATTTTAATAATTACCTAATATAAAATCATTAAACATAAAAATTGTGCGATCGCTAGAAAATCGGATGATTCTCGAGTGAGGCATAATGGCTAATTTTGTAAAATAAGGTAACTAATTTTTGATAATGATTTAATGATGAACAATGATTTTGGATAATATTTGATGGACATTTTTATGTCTTAGTCTTTTGATTGAAAATCATAACGAATCTTTTTAGTATGCACACCGTTGATTTCGCAAGTTTAGAAATTCTAGAATCATGTCAAATATGTTGACAGATTTAACTTAAAATGCAAGTAGGGATTTAATTCGTCAAATTAGAATTTATAATTAACATAAAAGATTGTGTAATTAACTTTTCAATATATATAATAATATTTATATAATAATAAAATCGTTACATTATTTTGCATTGAATATAAAGAAAAGATTACTGAATATATTAAAGTCTTATATGTAAAATATATATATATATTAACTTTACAATCTCAATTATGGTTAACAAAATTATAGGCCTTTATAATTCTATTTAAGAGAGAAATAATATGATTTTTTTAATTAAAAATTTGAAAATTTAAATTTAATTAATAAGTATTTTTGAGAGTGTGGTTTATTTTATAAAATATATTAATCAATCAAAATAAAAATGATTACTTATTAAATTTTATGAAAAATTTTTATATAAAAATATATATAGAAAATAATATGTTTTATATTTATATAATAATATAAATAATAGTTAATCTTTATTAAAATTTTTATTATTAATCTACTAGATCAATCATAATCATTATATAAAATTAGTTTAAGAACCAAAATTAAATAAAATTTTAGATTTTTTCTTTTTTACTAATATTCTTATATATTAAAAATATATATTATTATAAATAAAAATAAAATTTTATTTAGATTATATAGATTTATAAATAAATTAGTTTATTTATTTTTAAAAATTCTTTTGATTTATTTTAAAAAAATTTTTTTTTATAAATATAAAAAAATTTAAATTAATATTAAATTTGAACTTATTTTACTAAAAAATTATTTTTAGCTTATAAAATAAAAAAATTTTTTTTTATAATTTTTTTCATTTTATTATAAAAATTTATATATATTATATTATAATATTTTTTATTTTTTAATTATATAATATAAAATTTAAATTATAAACTAAAAATTTTTATATTAAAATTTTTTATTAATCTTTATTAACTTTTATTAAATAAATTTTAAACTTATTAATAAACTTATTAAATCATATTTTTATATAATTATTATAACTAAAATTAAAATTTTAAATTTATTAAAAATGAATATTTTTTTAAAGTTTGTAAGTAAATTTATTTACTTTAAAATTTAAGAAATAATAAATTACTAAAATATATTATTAATAAAATTATATATAATTTTATATTAATTATTAAAAATTTTATAAAATATATTATACATATTTATCCTAATTATTTTTAATTAATTATTAAATATATTTATTATTATTATGATTTTTTTTTAAAAATATATATACAGTGGCCCACAAAAGAAACACAAGTGTGATTGGTTACCTTTGAACGGCTATAACTCATCAACCACAAATGCTAGAAACATGATCTTGTACTTGTTTT